AACTGCATGGAACTCTGTAGACTCCTGGTGCTGATAAAGGATCCCGTTTGTCCTTGGCCGATCTCAAAGCCTGTTGGATTGTTCGAGTTGGGTTAAAAACGGTTTTGACTCTATGTTTCTCCAGTATCCTGCCGATCCTGTGCGTGACTCCATGTATGTATGGGAGGCAAGTCCAACCCTTACGCTCATCATGCGTGTCTGTTTCCTCAGGACGACCTCCACTGTTTCTTGGTCGAATTGCTCTATTAAACTCGTTCTTGCTGTATCCATTCCAACCAAAGGCCCTTTCCAGGTGTTTCAATTCTATTACTAACTTAGATGGTTCGCAAATTCTTCTGGCTAAGCCCTTTAAAACTATGTGCCACTTGACCCCCGTTGCCATTTAAGATTCTAAGGGTGACGTCTACCCGTCCTAGGGGGTTGAAACAAGGAGGCTAAAATATTCATTTAAGGTGTCCCCCTTACAAATGAAATTGACCGGTGTTTCCGATTTTTCAAGTTTTCAACTGGAATAAAAATATTAACGGTGGGAAGTTTTAAAATTGATGCCCGGTATATAAACACACACTAAATATGCCTGTTAATTAAAACCTTGAAGTGTTACGATTATAATTTTCCCATAGTTTTAGAGTACAACACAATCCTCAGGGCATTGAAATTATTGAGCCTGTCAACTTGAAACCGCTCAATATCAAAACAAAGTTTCAATGTTGCCCAGCAGTTACATAGATAAAGTTACTAAACTAGGAATAAGGCTTGCTTTCCACCTTTTAGGATCATGCAGGGCCGCGCCAAGCCGGTCTGGCGCCGTCGTGCAAGTTTGGATAGACTTTAGGTACTATGTTCTATATTTTTTCTAAATTTTATGACAAAAAGCCAATTAAATAAAAACTATATATTTATTACATAGTTAGTAAAAATTAAACTTAGAATTAGTGGTTAGTAGCCATAGGCATGTTAAACTTTTTGTTTGCAAAATTTTACTAACAATATTAACTCAATTTAATATGTTGTACCACAGTACTAACATGCAAATAAACTGATTTTTTTTATCTCTCTCGCTAAAGATGTAGCCAGATGTTTCGCAGAATTGTAAAAATTATTTCCAGATAACATTTCGTAGAGAGTATCATATATTTCTCCCAATTGAAACCTTAGAGGACTAATTGCATCAATTCGGCTAGACCACCTAGTCTCTGATAAGGGTTTTAGTGTTAAAAATAAACATAATTTTTCTCGGCAGAACACAATAACCACTCTCGTGGAACTTTTTCATTATTTGGTAAAATTCGTGTAAAATAAAAGTCGGAAAATTTTCGCCCCGTTTTGTCTTTTTGACCATGATGATCCCTGTTTTGGTAATTTGCAGAATCTTTTAACTTGAATTCTTTAACTTGGGATGGAGATAATGGACCAGCCATAAACCCGGATTCTTAGAAATTGGTTTTCCATTTCACTATTTCTGGTACCATATCTGAATTATTCTCTTCTCTAGAGGCATTTTTTTTATGCTGCTCGGTTTCCGTCTGACCGTCCGTCTGACCATCCGTCTGACATTCCGTCTGACCATCTTCCGCTTGCTTATTGCAGTATGAAGGTAACGAAGTAAAATCTGGATCGACTTGATGACCTACGCTTTCATCTACTCTCATTGCAATTGACGGACCACTACGATTATCCTCAGTACTGCCTGGAAGATTTGTAGGAGCTACAGCGGGTTTCTCAAAAAATTGGGTAATTTTTGATTTGGTCTTTTCTATATCATGTTCTCGTTTCCTTTTATTGAGCAAATGTTGATACCCAGATAATTTTTTTCTTTTTTATTCTCTTGCGATCTGAGGAAAATGAGAACATATTAAAATTAAGATAAAAAATGTTCCTAATTGAATTGAAATGGAGACTACGGCCTTTTGTCAGTAAAATTAAAAATCATTTATTTATTAGACGTTATTACTTTTATATTGTTTTGTTTGAAACCGACATAGATTTATGATATAAATAATGGCAATTTTCTAGTTATGTCACGATTCCGTTGGATTATTTTCACTTCTCTTACCTTCTAAATAATTCTTTTCCTAACACTTTTTCTTAGTGGTGTTTGCTGCGTTCGTGTGGTGAAATCATTTTTCTCTCATATTTTGCTCATTTAAAGTTG